TCTAAGAAAAGACCACACGTGCTTCTTTTCTATGATCGATAGATCCGCGACCGAAAATAATTCGACAATTTTACTGACGGGACGTAACGAGATATACTATTGATAATGGTACATACTATCGCAATCCGAACAGGAAATCGATGCAAATGCGATAATATGGTTTATTAATATCCCGCGGTTCTCTATTCCAGTTAGTCGGAGACACGTATGCGTAATGCGATGCAGTTGTTGCACCGTGATGTAATTTTAACAATCCGATGGATATCGGTACCGCGCGAGCAATAGTCGTAAGATCGATGCGAATATAATAACATGGTTTATTATTATCCCGCGATTCTACACCGGGGACGGGAATACGTATATAATGTTATATGGCGCTGTTTCTCGCACAACTAATATAACTATATGCGATAATATCTAATATCTAATATCGCGAATAATAACCGCGGAAGATCGACGCGCATATAATAATGTGATTTATTGTTGTGTGATGTAATATGTGATTTATTATCCCACCGTAAGTAAGTCGTTTCTATTAAGCATTGGTTTTTATCAAAAAGAAGCCCCCGAAAAGAGGGGAGATAATTGAATTATTCTTCTCCAAATAAAATGCTACTCATTGGAGATAAAGAGATCTGAAGAGTGTATCTTATGCGCGAAATATCTCTTGTTGTCGTACGATTAAACGATTAAACAATTACAGATCTCTCTCTAAAAGTGAACCATAAAAATCCTAAACGTATAAGTTTTCTCATTTAAATTAATTTATTACATTGATGTAAATGATAAATATCTTATTAACGTTAACTGTTTACACACAAATATATCGTTTGTGTGTAATTTAAAATTTAAATTCGCTAGCTTTTCTCGGTGCACATAAATTAATGTACATCGAACTTGTAATTTCATATTGCTCGGAACATCAAATGCGGAAAAAATAATATAGAAAAAAAATAGCCTTCTTATCGAATTAGTTGTTTCCAGATCCGCGTCTTTTTTTCACGCACATACTTAAATACTTTCTTTATACGCAAGGACTTTGAAAGAAGACTTTTGAAAAGTGTATATACGCGTCTGTGTAAATTTTAAGAAGCTCATTGTGCTCGCGAGAAAAAGAAGCATATGGAAAAGCAACGTGTTACATACAGATATCCTTTATGTACTTTACAAGAAATAGAATAAAAACGAACGCATACATGGGCAAAGAAAAATTCCGTGACGACAAGAGCATCCTGCATATCCTTCTCGATGCATGTCGATATTTCTATTTCGAATTCTTCTACTTTTGCGACGTGAGTTCTCTGTCTTCGTCAGAATGGTGTCCCTTCTGGATCTCGATCAAATAAAAATCGTGATGCGATTTATTTTAATAGTGATATATAAATCTCAATACACATATATTCGTTACTATAACAAATCTTTTATAGCGTGTTTCTTACAGTACGATATATATTAAAGATCTTTTATTTACGTCATATCGTGTATCGTGTATACTAAAAAACGTTAAAATCCAAAATTTTGCTGGCAAAAATTTGATTCGCATCAACGCAAAAGAGACATATTTTCGACTATGGACGTGTAGAGCGGCGGCTCTCACGATAACGATGTGGTTGATTGACAATGATTGTTATCGCAGATGTCCCGCATCGATCGAAACTAGCTTAACTCGATTTTGACGAATTCGCGTTGCCACATCGTCAAAGGTGAGGATATTTGATATATTTACTGTTTTTCTATTTACAAATAAATGAACACAATTCGACGAGTTATTAGACATATAAGAATGAAAAAGAACGACTGCGTACATCTCTCCGGTATGAAGTATATTTCTGTAAAGTAACAATAAAAATTTACAACTCCTTCCCGAATCAGTAATGTTCGCTTAATGAAACGTGCGTCGAATGCACGTCTTTTCATTTTTCCATTTGGTACCCGTAACGCACGGAATATTCATGGAATATTGCGGATGCCGTGCCACGTAGTTATTGAACGCGTTATCGAATAAATATTACAAAATTATATTATACTCCCGATGCTCCATAAATATTCGTAACGCCAACACGAACGTATTAAGAAATTGTTAATTGTCTAATCAGATCAGACGCTTGTGGATAAATCTTATTAATTAATTCTTTCGTTTTGTTTCAGTTTCCTAGATAAAGTAGCCATCGTAAAACAGCCGGATTACACGCCCACAGAACAGGTGACTATTACAATTTCTCTGTTCAAATTTTCATTAAATTTTCATTCTCGGTGTCAAGTCGATAACGACTAGTATTAATATTACTTTTTTGACGAGAGTCAAAAAGAAAATTTGCTTTGTCATATCTTTCCGGCGTTAGAAAATTGAAATTATCTGTAAATTATCTGTAATCTTGATTCTCGCTTGGCGCTCATAAAACGCCAATTCCGCATTGTTACGCGCGTATACACATATACGAGTGACGTGTCTTTGTATTTTGTTTCAGGACATCCTCAGGTGTCGAGTCCTCACATCCGGCATTTTTGAGACGCGGTTTCAGGTCGACAAAGTAAACTTTCAGTAAGTCCCGTAGTGCAACACATACGCGACTATTCGCGCGCGCTTTACTCCAATGTCGTGTGACTATATATAGCCGACGTATTACAGTAACATCGGCCGACAGTAAATATAAACGCAAAGTGGCGGCGGCGGTGGCGGCGGTGATGGTGGTGGTAGTGGTGATAGTGGTGGTGGCGGCGGTAGTGGTGGTAGTAGCGGCGGCGGCGGTGATCGTGGTGGTAGTGGTGGTGGTGGTGGTGGTGGTGGTGGTGGTGGTGGTGCTGGTGGTGGTGGTGGTGGTGGTGATGGTGGTGGGGTGGTGGCGGTGACGGTGGCGGTGGCGCATATCTTAGCCTTAGCACCTCTATGTATTACGCCCGTTGCCGGCAAGACTTACACTGTTATAATGTGTAAGCTGAAATCCGTTAACCGCGTTAACGCCTCCGCAACTTTGTAACATTTTCCCTTTTTGCGTTCACTCGCAGGTCACGTACGACGTTCCACATTATTTTCTATAGGCCCACCACACCCCTTTGTTGTCGCTTCTCTCTGGTTATGTTCCGTACGTAGCCGTTTTACACACGGACTAATTGCTCTGTAACAAATACTCGAGAAATTCGTCTGTTTGTAGCTTTAAACTACAGCCACCACAGCATTTTTTCGTTAAGAAAGACCGTAATGTCGTGATGTAAATTATAAAACAGTCGGACCTAGAGGTTTATCTTTAATGAAGATCTGAGAAGTCAAAGAATTTGGAAATAATTGCAATTTAGCTTTTTGTTACATTGTATATTAGTACTATTCTTCTGAACGATCCTAAACGGAGTTATAAAAATATGGACTGTCAGATGCAGTCCATTGCGACATCGTCATCGAATGTTTTTTGTTGAGCACTTCTCCGTTTTTGCAGCATGTTTGACGTCGGTGGTCAACGGGACGAAAGAAGGAAATGGATACAATGCTTCAACGACGTTACAGCAATTATATTCGTCACGGCGTGTAGTAGTTACAATATGGTACTCAGGGAAGATCCTACAAAGTTGAGACTCAGGGAGAGTCTCGATCTTTTCAAAAGTATCTGGAACAATCGGTACGCAATTAATCGTTCAATCCAATTACCGCTTTATATCGAGCATTCTTGATATTCGCATTATATATTATATAGCCTCGATTATTTACTATTATTACTATTACAGCATCGATACTTGATCTCGATTTTCGCAGGTGGCTCCGCACAATCTCGGTGATTCTGTTTTTAAACAAGCAAGATCTTTTAGCGGAAAAGATCAAGGCTGGCAAGCACAAATTGGAGGATTACTTTCCGGAATTTGCGCGCTATCAAACACCGATCGAGCCCGGAATGGCCACGGATCCCCCAGAAATACCCGATGTCATAAGGGCCAAGTACTTTATCAGAGACGAGTTTCTTGTAAGTATGATGCACGTAATATATGCGCGATGTAGTTCCGATCGATTATCGCGGCTATTCGACCGAAGCACGAGCGAGGTGTTCTCACGTGTTGTTGCGTCTCCCTTGTCTTTATAGCGCATAAGTACGGCAAGTGGCGATGGCAAGCACTATTGTTACCCGCACTTTACGTGCGCCGTCGATACGGAGAACATCAAGAGAGTGTTCAACGATTGCCGGGACATCATCCAGCGGATGCATCTGCGCCAATATGAACTCTTGTGACTTCGTTCCTGCCGATATTTTCTATCATCATCCATTAACCTGACGATCACGCTCGTCTTGCGCTTCGAGCTGCCGCAATCGCTGCGAACTGAATGAGCAAGTGAGTTATGTCGCGAACCGTGGCCGCGAGAGTTCCGCACCTGGGAGTATTCAGGTAACGCCTAGGGCTTCCTCGCGGAAGAGAATCGGAAAGCCATAGGACGATCGGAAGAACGACCTCTCGTTCATGGAGAACGCGTCAGCGTGCAATACCGAGAGTGACTCTGCATGAATCGATCGCGATGCTTCTTCTCGACGAAATTCGAGAAAATAGACGAGAACTAGGACGGAGCGATATACCCTCGCCGCATCACTCCCCGTGTGAAACCTGTCACGTACGAGAAGCGAGTTCCTTCTCGCGCGGAATAAATTTGCGCCAAACCGCGAGCGAGGCACAACGCGAGATGATCGCGCGCGTCGACACGCCGACCGATCCCGGTCATGGTGTCCTAGCACCGTGAGTCGCGATTCGATGAGAAACGAACGAGCGGCAGCCCCTCCAGACGGGCGTATTCTCTCGCGATCACTCGACCCTCCTTTGAGTTTGATGGAAGAGTGTGCTGAACGCTCGTCGTCGTCCGGATGACGGCGAGAACGAAACTCTCTCTCGCGCCGTTCGATCGTGCGTGTGAATCATTACCTCGTTAATTTTATTCCTTACACGTGATTCTGCTTTATAGCGGAACGCGCGGATCCTGTCATAAGCGTGGGCCAACGTCGTCGTCGTCGTCGGATGTGATTCGAGGGATGATTTTCTCTGTTTAACACACTCTTGACGTGAATTATTATCGTTCATATTAAAGTTAAGGATATTTCCTAAGACTTAGGCGAACCTCTCCGGTAAAAACAAAAAAAAAAAAAGAAAAAAGAAAGAATTTTTTATCATTTTTTGACTTTCCTCTTTACTCATTTCCGAATCTCCGCTATTACTTTTGCTCCTCGCCCCTCCGTATATTTCGCTTAGAATCTCCGCATTTCTTGTTTCTTTCATTTTCTTTCATTGAGCTTTTGACTTTCGAATCTCGATTCTTTTTATTATTACATTGGCCCGACCCATAAGAGTCTCAGCCGTGCCCTTTTTACGAGAAGAGTATTTTGTGAGATTTTACAGTATTTCGAAGAACGTTTTAATTATATAACTATGTATCGCGCGCGTGTGCGCGCGCGAGTATATGTACAGGGTGACCGTCCACGGATTCTCATCGTTTTAACATGCGTTTCTTACGATTGAGATCTCTCACGGATATGGATTTCCCTTTTTTTTCTCCGACATCTATACCACAAATCGAGTTACTTTTTTTAATTTCTTTGTACTTAGGCACGCGTGCTACCCGCAGTCGTATCTGTATCAATCATCTATATATTCTAATTCAAGAAATGTGCCACGTTCAAGTTCTTCGTTATTACGCACGCGAGTATAATTTCGTGATACGTTGCACGCGCACGGGCGGCGTTTCGAGACTTGCGTAAGAGTAATTGGTTTTCTTTCACCCCAGAATTTGCATCTCGCTTTCAGAGAAATCGTTGCGCCCCGGTGATACGTGGTAACGTGTACAAATTTTTACGCTACTGACCCAACGATGAATCACGGTGAATTGATTTTTACGGTAAATGTCCCGAAACGAGACAAGCGCCGATGTGTGAAAAAATCTTATCGCATCTTCGCGCATCACTACAATAGCATTCCGCTTTCTTCGTCGTCGCTACTTGAACACTCTGCGTGCGGTAACCCACTCTCGCCAACTTGCTCTGGATTCTGATGATCCTTTAGTCGAAAAATAACGAAATGCTTGCGCGCTAATGACGTATATACATAGATCAAGCAATGGAAGAATTTTTATCGAAGACAGCTAATTAGCAGTTATTCCAATCACTTTCCTATTGAAATACAGAAATCAAATATTTTTCCGCTACAATATTTAAAAGTAAATCGCAAATTTATAATTGTATATAATAATTTTATATAAAAAAAGAAAACTATATATACATATATTTTTTGTGAGAGATATGTACTAAGTCTGAAAATTTGGCATGCATCAAAGAAAAAGATTGGCCGCATCTGTATTAATGAAGAGAAACGCATCATGTATGATTAACGAAATCTTGCTAGCTTCAACAATGACGGCGCATAGAAAGGAAAGCAAGATTTTGAATAAGTCCTTATACATTTACATTGTCAATTACCGACTGATTCTTGTTCCAGAAGAGAATCGGGAATCCTTGGTCTATGTGCGTATATCATTGTGTGCTCGCGTATCAAGTTGTTTAGAGGGTTTATGCATAGATGATATAGATATGTGGGGTATATTCTCTACATATACATCATCGTATATTTCGTCGCTTATGTAAGATCCGTGATCGAGAGAGAAGAGAGTCCTATAAAATTGCGCACATGTTCGCATATACATACTTTAGACGTGTCGTTCAGTTAATTTTTTAGCTTTATATTGACACAAGGAACTAAGAAGGATCGAAATATTTGCAGTGAAATTCTGATTTGAATTGATTAAGATTTCTCTCGAGATTTATTCATGCTGTAGCTATTTTATAATGACGAATATGGCAATAATAAATCTGAAGTTCATTGACGATTCATAATCGCAAACCGCAACGCATCTCTATCTTATTTCCAATAGTCTAAAAGAATCTTTTTTACATATTGTAGACTAAGGGTTAATGCCGATTACCGACTCGTCGTGATTATCGCATAAATAATGGGAATCAAATCGAAGCAAGTAAAATAAAAGTTAAGAGATATGAAATGAGCGAGATTCCAAGGGTTTTCTGTAACTCACTGTAATACACTCGACCGTTAATTCTGTATTCTGTTTCTTTATTAACTGTTTATTAATCGTGTCTTTGTAATCTTTTATAGTCTAATCTTTTTGTCGTGACAACATCGCACAATTGAAACGGCTATGTTTGGGTTTGTCTCACAAGAACATTTTTAAGATTTAAGGAATCTTGGTCAATTCTTCTTTTTTATCTTGCTATTCAGTAATGTTAACACTGTGTTTTGTCCGCTCGACTTATTAAATTAATATCTCACGCGCGATATTTTTCACCGTACGCTTTTTTCACCGTACGCTTTTTTCACTCGACGAGAATAGGAATCTCGGGGCATTACATAACAGGTATCCTCTACATGCCGACATGTCCACAACTACGTAACTGTAACTTCATATGATATCGATGTATGTGTACAAGTACGTGGAGCATAATATGAAAAAAATCAACCGCAAATATCGCGAAACAAAATTTCTCTCTACATTTTGCGTCATATCTGCGTCTTATCTCATTTAGTTAGTAACGGTAAAGAGAACTATAAAAATAAATTCGATGAATTCTAACGTATTTCCACGAGGCACGAGAATAAAAGTTACTAATTTCTTTCAAAGAAATGAAATAAGCCGGTTATCCTATCGTGTACACTTGCATCTATCGTACTAGTATATAAGTACAAACAAGCCATAGTTTGTAATTATAATTTATAAGTTTACGAAATGTTATTTTTACTACTATCGATAGGAAGAGAAAGAGAGAGAGAGAGAGAGAGAGAGAGAGAGAGAGAGAGAGAGAGAGAGAGAGAGAGAGAGAGAGAGAGAGTAGAA